CTGCCTCCAGTGCAACTACAGCTCGTACTCGATTTTTTGTTTTTGCCAGACTACATATGTTGATAAACATAAACTTAGGAACAGCAAAACCCGACTCTCTCGAAGGAACTTTTCTTGTGGATGTTAAATTAATAGGTACCAACATACTACAGACACAGAAACCCTAGCTACACTTTTGTATGCCTTCAGTTTGAAAACATTGATTTTAACGTAATTCTTTGCACGAATGTAACCAAAGATGTTTTGAAGTAACATAAAATTGTCATAAAATGATATATTTTTTAAACGGTACGTATAACGGATGAAATTATAAGTTATAAGATGTGCGCAGCCCAAATCATACGCGTGCATGCGTCTCGCGTGTGATAAACTTCAACTTGCGTAATGAGCGTAAATATATTGATCATGTCTTCGAAGCAATATTTTGACTAGCATATTCTCTTGTTTCGTGCAATTTGTCCTCCTGGTTCGGGGCCAATAGTCTGAGAAGCGCTTACGTCACGCAATTTTTAATACAGGCTACTTCTGGAATGTACAGTGCATTGTGGGATACTTTTGGGTCAATAATTCATTGTTTGAACTTGAAGTCTATTACTGACTCAGTGAGTTTGGCATAATAAAGCTATGGCAAATCTGATGAACTGCAAACCGCAGAACCCGCAGATGTACGAAAATTCGGAAAACAGGGACCGTGGAGCGATTGGTATCTCCACAGGTTATCTCCACTACTCTGAGCCGGTGTATATCCACACCGGGCAGGCTTGGAAAATATACCTGGCCACGGTGGGAAACAGTATCACATACTCGAACCAACCTGACCGCGTAGCTCAGTTGGCAGAGCATTGGGCTGGTGTTCCAAAGGTCGTAGGTTCGTTTCCCACCGTGGCCAGGCATATTTTTCAAGCCTGCCCGGTGTGGATATACACTCAGAGTAACATCACAAGCATCTTATTCACCTGAGTACACTACACCAACACAGCAAATTCCATAGGTAATCTCCATTCCCTCCTAGGAGGCTAGACGTGCCCACAAGTCGATCTTACGAACCGCGAAAAAGAACTGGAAAGGACCGGGAAAGTCTACTCGGAGGCATGCCCTCCCAGAAAAGTTTGAAAATTACACGCCCGGAAAGTGCATTTCCACCTATTAATGTAGATTAAAATTTCGAGCGGAAGAATATATACAATTTTAGACCTAACCGGGAGCAGCTGCGAAAAATGTAACTATAGGCCCTCTCGCAGGAATCGAACTTGCCTAACCAACCGCTAGTGAGCTACAGAGTCCAGTTGTCCAGCTCGAGCTCTCACCACAAGTTTTTGTATATGAAATCGAGAGCGAGGTGGAGTAATGTAATTGTTTTAGTAGAATCAGAGATCAAATTAAAGGCTTTTTTGTTACTCGCTATCCTCTGCTCGCGCTATCTATCGAAGAATAGATGGCGAGTAGAGTAATTAACCAATCAAATTACAGCTTTTGCAATAGTATACTAGCCATAGAGATTATAAATAGTGTTATTTATAATCTCTATGATACTAGCACGATCCACTAAATATATAGTGGGTGATGCCAGTATAAGGTATGTGTAAATATTGAAATTTTGGGCCAGCATCTCGCTCGATAGAACTCCTATTGCCCACAATGATTCTGTTTAAAGTGACCATGTTGACTGGCTTGAATGCATGCACACATCACTGAAAACCAGAACAATTGCACAAATCAACATGTAAAAGAAAGGATATATCCGTATATATCAAGTGAAATGTTACTTTGCAGTTTCGGCTCTGAAACATACCGCGTCAAACAGTTTCAAAAAAGATTCGTCCACAATGCAAAGCTACTGAGTCAGTTGTTTCACTGCACGGCATATTTAGTAACATGCAAACTATTTTTCCATCGTGTCGTGACCCTCAATGCCCTCAAGATGATAAGTCCAAACTACGGGGCATATAACCATCAGACATCTAGTTCAGAAAAGATAAAAGTTTAAAATAAATACAGAGTCAGAATCTGCGCTTATAATCAAGGCCGAAACTTCGGTATTACGCCTGGGGGGGGGGGTGAGCTTGTTTTGACCGACCTATTAAAATTTTTTCCAGGTGGCAATGATCCCTACGCCCCCCCCCTCCCCCCCCCGTCGACAACTTAAAACATTTGAGGGAAAAAATTTTTCCGGACGAATACTGCCTAATTACTTCCCCTGCCCCGGCTTTTTCGAAATTTTTCAATACAAAGTTTCGGTAATTTGCCAAAAAATACAAATTTTTCAGTAATATTTTCGTAAATTTATCAAAATTTTCTCTACATATATTGCTTTTCGATAAATTATGTCAAATTTTTTGCTCAATTGCACAGTTTGGGCCCGACGAGCGTATCAAACTTGCCCGGACGAAACTACAATATTACAAGATTGGGGAGGGGGTGTCCCCCCCCCCACTAGTTTCGGCCCTGCTTATAATATATATAGCCGGCAGTGTCAGGTCTCGACCACAAACCTACCGAGCTTGGTTGTTTCTACTTGTCATATTCAGTAACAAACCGACAGTTTGAACTGAAAAGATAACAGACTAAAGCAAACACTGGGCCGGGTTCGAACCGCGTTGTCCGAGTGCACGGCATATTCCGTATAGACAAATTAAACCAGTTTACTTCAGTTTTTCAACAATAATCCTCAATGGTGATACATAATTCCAAATTACAGGACACAACTACCATCAAACAGTACTAGTTTTCGGAAAAGATGAAAAGTTTACCAACAAATACAGGGTTCGAACCTGCGCTTATAATAGTATTCCACTATTCCAGCGGTGAGGTTTCGACGACATATTCATTAGTAACATGCCAAGCTTATTTTTTCCAACGACAATCCTCGGTTGTGATAAGTCCAAACTACGGGGCCGATATAATTTAATGAATTTGACTGATAAGTACTCCTGCCCACTACAGCTACTCTAACTTTTCTACTCAATACTCAATAGTTCAGCTTGTCTGAATGTCATTGTGGACTAGTTGTGTGTCATCCTGTAGCCAACGTGCAAGGGTGCAGCAGGAATATCAGGTGGTTAATATAATATAGAACTTAATATTTCTGGTTAAATTTCCTGGTTATTTTTCCTACTATTGTCTTGTTAATTTGACCAGGACTTCCTGATTAAAATTAACCAAACTATATATTGGCTATATTATGCTTAAATTAAGTGAGTAAATATAACCGAGGGATCCTGGTTATTTATCCACCTAACAGTCTGGTTATCTAAACAAGGACGTCCTGGTTAAATATAACCAAACCATAACCAGGTTCCTGGTTACATTGAAACTATGGTAGGAGGTGAGATGACTGAAATAACCAAGAAATTTAACCAGGAATATTATGTTCACCCAAATAGTGGTTTATATCTCTAGGTTAACTTGCTGGAAATTTTAACCGGTGTGTTTCGGTTTAAAATCGTACACATTACACTGTTGGTATATTACTCTGAACCTCCTCGGCCCTCCTCCACAGGCATCGAGGCTTTCGATTGCCGGAATTACTGCATATTCCCATTCCTTAAATAGTGTACCTTGAAGTACAGTACAAAAAACCCACTGTAAAACTGTCGAAATCCCAACCAAAGAAAACGGAAGTGGAGATGGAAGTTCATAATGCGCATGAGCAGATGTTGTGTTACATGCAGAACACCAGACGAAATGACAGCTTAAAAATTTAAAACTTTGTTTTTATTTGAAAATTTAGTCAAACTTGATATTGAATAGATATGTTTTTACGGCTGTGTTCTTGCCATGTATAAATCTTCAGTTATTGAGCCGTTGCTACATGCGGACTGGCCCACAGATGGAAATATAGTATGGAATAATTTGAGTGAGATTGTATGGATGTTACCGGCATGATGTATACAAAAGAAGGGGAATTTGAGGTTTCTCTGACTGGAGGTTCACCTTGGGGGTTTACGATTAGAACTCAATCAGGAAATGGTTTATATAATCGCGGTAAAGTCATTGTTAACAAGGTTTGTACATTTGAAAGCATTAATCAGTTATATGTTAGTATTTTCTTTCTTGCTAGTATTGGAAGTCCTCAATTTTATATGTTTAGTACCAACGGTTCTTTGTTGTATATAGCCGCTGTTCTGGTGCGAAGTATATTTAAGAATATTTCAGTAAGCATAGTTTCACTTCTTAAAATATATTGTGATATTTTGACGGTTTCATATTACACATTTTATCCTGAATCGGCCACTTTCCGCGGAAACATTGTGCCTCGTCAGAAACATCCCTTCCGCTTCTCCATACAAAACTGAGTTCTAAGATTAGAAAATAGCCAATTTTGGTATAAATGGTTGTTCGGCAAAATGTCCTCTACTTTTTATGTTTCCTTTTGTATTTTATATTCGGTTTCTTTTGTACACAAAGTGAAGGCAACTCTCTTATTTCGTTTGCTAACACTCTTCAATGTGTTTGATTTGCAAATGTGATTTCCTCATATTATTCTGCGATATTGTGCTTGTTGTATGCCAACCCGAGGCTTGTAATATACTAGCACATCTGTTTCACTTAAGCTTCAAAACATTGTAATGATGTAAAGATATACAGATAAATTGGTAGTTATGACATTTTTAGCCTGGACTGAATATATTTTTGCCTAAGCTAACAACAGTCATTTGATGAATGATATAAAGTTGTGGTCAGTAAAGCATTAACAGCGGGACATTCGTATATTTCGATCGCGTTTCAAATCTTTTCAGCGGAAACTGCTGTTATCGCTTTAATTTAGAAGATCATATTTCGCAGACATCACGGCATTCTATATGGCTAAGGAATGACGAGAATTTACTGCGATAACGCAAGATTTAAACTCAAAAACTCTATTTTACGCACTACGATTGTTTACAGATTTCATGCTTGTTTCGTTGATTCTACTGGCAATTGATAACAACGAAATTGAAACGGCCATTGTCTTAAAGATTGTTCAACTATGTCAGCTATTCTTTCCATGCTAATCAAGTTTTTATGCTGCAGCTATTTTGAGCATGACTCGATGACAATTCAACACATTTGAACTGTTGTGTTGAAATTTTTGTGTTTGTTGATACAAGGTGAACTGCGGAAAGTCGTTATCATTTTGGATTGAAATTGGACACACATATTGGTATGCCTTCTTCAAATTCGTTTTGATTTCTACTTAAAATGTGATCTTTTTTGTACTTGAAATCTTCACTTATCTTGACATGTCTAATCATTCAATTTATCAATAATGAGTCTTCGCTAATGTAAGCAACCATTTCTGTATTTTCAGGTATTTTATATTGCTTATCTTCCTGCGAATACCATATACGTATTCAGCGTGCCACTTGCTTTAATATAGTACAAATAAAAATACTCTTTCTTTCTTGTTTGCTTTGTTTTTACTGTAGAATATTTTAGTTTTAATCAGAAAATAAAAGCTCGCGTCTACACTTGACAGTGTTTATCTTTCACGGTTGTTGTTGAAAGAGTTGCGAACTGGTGTTGTTCTAATTCTGATTCTAATTTAATTCTAGAATGTAATTAATCATTCCAATGCGTCTAATTTCATTCGATTATATAAAACGCATTTCTCAACCCCAGGGAGGAATGTCTAATACATACATCTTGCTTGTGCTAGTATTACGTTTACATAGAGAAGTGAGTCATATCCGAGATTGAGATAAACCTTAAAGTGTATATGGCACATGTTTGGTTAACATGGAAACCTGCATACTTTGGATGTTATTAATTAGCTAGATATTTGTTGCTTTTGTGTTGGCATGAAAGTAATTTGATACTCTACACTATTTGGGTATGTGTTGTGGTTCACGCAGTAGATAATCTAAATATCTGTGCCATACTAAAATGGAGGTGCTGTATATCCTGCATTATTTGTACAACTAAGGTACTACATTGAGTTTTGTGAATATGTTCTGCTATATATTTCAAAGATATGTTGAGTTGGTTTGAAATCTTAGGACATCCGAACATAAAAGTTGCTGTTATTTTGTGCTCAAATGACAAAATATTTGCCATATTGCCAACCCAATTTACCTAAGTACCATCTTTAAACTTGTTATCACTACATGTAGATAGGTTATTTATAAAAGTGTCACACTTGTTTATATATAGGTTGTACAAGGTGGCAAAGCAGACAGCTCTGGGAATATTCATATTGGAGATGAAATACTAGCTGTAAATGGTTTTGAGTTTGATAATGAACAACAGGCAACGCAATATGTTAAAGATGCAAGGAAAGAATTAATTCTAAGGGTTAAAAGGTATATTGGGTAATAACAATATCTTGTTGATGTTCTAAACTGTTTATTATCAAAATGATGACAAATGTTGTATTGGATCATTTTATTTTGGCAGAGGTCAAGACAAAAGAAGAATGAATATCAGGCTTGCTGGTGATATGCCTAACTATTTTGCTAAAGCACTAGAGTCACCTTTTGAAAAGGAGGTGTACACACAGCATAATACTGACATGGTTTCCAATAACAAGAGATCAAGCAAAGAATATGAAAAAGATCTCAGTTATAATTTTGGCAGTGATACTGTGAATGCAGTAATAGATTACCCAAGTGGTCAGTCTGGAAACTCTCAAATAAACGTGACAAGACTTACAAGGTCTACAGCTGATTTGTCTGAATATAATCAAACTAAAGATCAGTTCCTCAAGGATAATGTATCAAGGTTGGTATCTTATCTATCTAGTAATGAGCTTTACTGTAGATAGTGTATATTGGTCTAATGAAGTATTCCATTGGATTTCATAGAAATTGTAGTACAGAGGGTACTGTAAACAGATACAATATAATCAGCTACAATTATGATCCCACTCACCATTCTTTGACCAAAATGTGTATAGACCAGACTGTGTTGTTGTGAGTTGAGCGGGATATATTCACAAATTTGATTTTTCAGGACTGGCCATCAGTGATTGGAAATATAGATTCATATGTAGTGTTCCAGAGTCAACCAGACCTGCATTACTGGTTACTGCTTTTCTGGTGATGATCATCGTTCAAACCATTCCAGTGTGGAAAGTTTGTATCGCACAACTGAGATATTGGGTGTGCAATTTTGGTGCTTCTATGTATTTACTATTAAATTTTCCAAATTTCAACTGTGCAATTTCCAAACTTTCCAGTGAGGAAACCATTGCTAAAATTAATGACTTTTCCCACTCATTGAGGGAGTTCACTGGTGTGGACGAGGCTGGAGTATGTTAGATATGTGATGGTCCCTCCTCTGTTTTGGTAGTAGAGGCCCACCTTGCTTTTGAATATCAAAATGGGGCATTTTTACAGTCATCCAGTCAGTTTAATTTTAAAGCACAAGGAATCTCTGAATAGAAGTTCAAGTATGGTTGTCCATGCATGTCCATGGACCATGGATTATTTCTTGCCATGATAACTGAGCTAAATATACCTCAAGTTTGATCCAATATCCAAAACCAGGTTAATTAATAACAACACATATATATCAGCTGAAGTTAATTTGCTTTACCTTTACAGTAAAGAATGAGATAAGATGAATATCATATAAGAATTAGCCATCAGAATGTGAATACTTGTCAGCTTGAAAAAAAAAGCTGAGGCATATCTACATCCATGATTGCTTATTTCCACAGAAAGGGTAACAGCAATGGTAATCGTGAATCATATTATTGAAGATTTTGAAAGTTGCTATGAAAAATCTGTGATTTGTATAATTTTGTAAAAAACTTGGTCCTACTAATTTGCTATCCTAATGTTAATGAAAAACTTTGAAAAAAGTATAATTCATACATTGTCGAGATTTGAAATTAGAAGGAAAGACTTGTATTCTTCAATAATTTTATTTGATGAGATACTTAGTTTATGTGAATCAGCTGGAATTTTTACAAACTCTTTCATGGTCATAATTTCCTTAATGTTGTCTATGTATATACTTTTGACAGACAGATGGGCTGCAGCTATTTGCTGCAATAATTTCTTTTGTAAAATAAATTGCCAGTGCCAGTGGTTTTTAGGTTAGCAATATGTTTGATTAGTATTCATATTGGTATAAACATACTTATAAATTTGAAAGTTCAGATGGTACTTTACAAATGTCATGTTGTGGCCATGATATTCAATGTGTTATTATATATACATTTTTAATTTATGATGTTGCTATGTGTTTACGAGAAACCTGGAGATGCAGTCTTGTTAGGGTTAGGGTAATGTAACTTGTATTATATAGTCAATCATATAATATTTACTGTTATAGAAATTGATAACCGATAGCACGAAACTGCGGTGATAACGGTGCCAAGTTGTACAGCTAGAATCAGTGCTGTAATGAACAAGAGTAATTGAACATATAAATGTTATTGTTAATCATTTATATATCATGATAAATATATTATATATTTTATCACTATGAAACCAAATTTTTGGAATTAGGTTTAAAGCCCATTTTAGCCCAGTCAGTTGGAATGTCATTACATTTATTACCTGTGGCGTTTTATTTTAGTGTGACTAAAATTAGTTACTTTGACTAATGGCTCAATAGGGTGAAGTGATGATCATATGGTCAACAAATAAAAGATTATTTTTAGTCATTCCATATGTGCTGAATCTGAGGGAGGCCACAGGCTGCTTGTTTTGATTACCAAAAATTTGAAACATGATCTGTATAAATTGAATTTTAGTTGTCACTGCAAATTTGTTGTAGATACGCAATAATTTTGCGAAACAGTTACAAAACGTGATATGATGTCTTGCAATGCTAATGCATCATTCCAGGAGCAACTTGCAAAAATGTTGTCTTCGCGAGAAAAAAATTCGTCTTGGCAGAACTGTATTAGTAGCGAATTTAACCTCGTGGAGGGATAGAATTAAACTCGAAATTTATGAACATGGATAGGGTTGAAATAAACACAGTATGAGACGTAATTGGCTACCTGCCATCTTAAGGCGGTGGAACGTTCTACACTGTACATATACTGGTACATGTACCCTTTTTGGCGGTAATCACATTAGTATTGCAGTTCGTCTGTTCTTTATAAAAACAGACTGTCAATATGTAGTTTTTACGGTTCTGAATTATGGAAATCCTTTCTCTATCCAAACCTGTCATTTTGTAGTTTTGAACCATTTTTCTGCATTCTTACCGCATACTAATTTATCGATCACGGATGCATAGAGGTGGCGGGCTCTGTTGGATGAACTTTAATTATTAATAATTAATGAAGAAATTAAAACACAAAAGAAAATTATGATGCCGTGATTTTATAATACCAATCAACATAAGCCCAAACAAAATATGCTACATTTATACATTTTACGTAAAGTTGATTAGTCAAAACAAAACAACGTCGATAAATTAATGACACACGTCATTTCTGAGCTCGATGTATTCTAAATCACTGGACCATTCTTTTGTACCTTGCATAAAATGTCCAGTCGTAGGAATTTTACTACGCAAAGTGGAATTAGGTTATTAGGACATTGTTTTTTTTTCATGCATGCTTGGTATGTAAGTAGAAATACCTGCAGGAAACGTTTCTTTTTTACAGGATTAATTATAAGTACAACATACCAAGTTTTATGACATGCATTCCTTCCATTCTTTACGTATCCTCTTAAAAATGATTCACTTACGTATCCTTTTAACATGACTCACTCACATTACGCAAGTTATGGTGATAACTATATTTATAATCGGGTGATAACTATATTTATAAACTTTACTAACGAGAACGCACGAAAGTTCTTGCGAAATTTCTTTCTTTCAATGCAGCGGGAGTTACATGATGACACTTATCATATAAATTGACATTAAATTATTTTGTATTTCTATACTATAGTGATTTATTATATTATTGTATTATTGCATGATCGTATAAAGTGCTTTTATAAGTGCGTAGAGGAATTTAAGCGGTTACCTTAATCTTTATTTGAAATTTCACCCCAAATGTTTATGATTGCATTGTAAAGATCACTTAAAATGACTTAATAGTTTTTATAGAATTTTGGTAAACTTGCTTCCATTGCAAGATATTCAACTTCATATGCAAAATATCACCTGTGTGACATCACATCGCATAATGACATTTTGAAAACGCAATATTTTACCTTGATAAAATACTTTTCCAAACAAATACAGAGGGTTAATTACCAGTTATGAAATTAATACATATACAAGGGCAATTTTTAAGTTTTTTAGATACGTATTCGTCAAGAAAACTATACTTTTCTGAAAACTCATTATGTGGTGTGATGTCACATCGGTGATATTTGCATATGAAATAAAGTGGAATATCCTTAAGTCATTTTAAGTGATCTTCACAATGCAACCATAAACCTTTGGGGTGAAATTTCGTGTCATAGGCACGGAGGAGAGAGACTGGATACCACTGTTCTTCTAGGTCTACTATTCTGCACAGGCTTGGCGACTATTTTGTTATCCTCGGGGAGTTTCGAGCAATTAATTTTACAGGAGTGTGTGTAAGCTCCTGAAACAAACTACACACGTAAAAACAACTTGTCAACAAGAGGTAATCGTTCCATGTTTCGCGCACCAATATAGTAAACGTTATCTAATGGATATTCTAGTGTACTGAAAAGTTAACTGGATATCTCCATACACATATATACACACCCTAACCTTAAACCTAACCCCTAACCTAACCTAACCCCTAACCCTATACCTAACCGCCTAACCTATATTGGTGCGCAAAACAGGAACGATAACCCAACAAGATGTGTTTAAGCCTGTTGCGAACAGCCATGTAGCAAACTTGTCAACAAGTTGTAACAATGCTGTTATTTTATCAATTTGCTATAAGTATAAGGCTGTCACTCACAATTTGTCGACAAGTTGTTGAATTGCAGCCTTTGCAGGACGATAACAAGTTGTTGGAACTTGTAACAAGTCTGTTGAGCTCAACAACCTTGCAACAAGTCTGTTGAGCTCAACAACCTTGCAGCAAGTTGTCAACAAGTTGGCAACAAACCAGTGCGAACACATCCCGATGACAAGTTTTTGGAACAGCATTGCTACAAGTCTGCTGGTGGTTTGTTACAACTTGTGTGTTTTTACGTGTGCATACCATGATTTATAATTAATATCTTAACGGTACATAACTAAGGCTACATAAGTTTAAAATAAATAAAAACAATGATAAATAAGTAAATTTACTAAATAAAAAATAAGAAATAACTAACAATTTAATTATATTTTTTTATCAAAAGGAGACTGAAGCATTCTAGTTCATTTAACCAAAAGATAAATAAAAGCTCTGAACGTCCACGAATTCAACGACAACATACTTGGAATGGGAGAGGGTATAAAATACTAACATTTAATTCATTAAACATAACGTAAATATAACAAATATAGCATACTAACTCTAAATCCAAAATAAATTAATTTTAAATCCAAAATAAATTGCAGTAAACGAGTTTAATTAAATGAATGTTTTATTGAAAATTAGGTTAATTAATAAATAAATATAATAAGAAATAAAACAAACTATACGATGTATGTACATTGAAACTTGTGTTTTTCAAGACTCATTAGAGTCCTCCTGAGAATCAATGATGGTTTCCCAGGTAAATACTGCTAATAGTATAACCCTTTTTAACCCTGGAGTTTCCCCCACTAAAATACTAAATTCACGATTGAAAACGAATCGTATAAATGGTGTAGAAGGGACAATAATAATGTTCAGAAATTTCGACAGCCACACACCACACACAACGTTAACAGTACTCTATATATACATGCCGAAGCTGAAGAGTGAAGTTCCTTAACATGCATGCATGCAGAACCATGCGAGGTATCACTCTGCTTATTAAATCAGACAGGACAGGTATTTGCTTCCAGGTTATTACAAAGGGTATATATTGAAACAAATAAATTGTGGACGAGTGGTAAATAATGATATAAATTTTATATAATTTTGTAGTTCTCCACCTCGCAAGAACTACTACAATCCTCCAAGCAGTCCAGATAAAGTACAACGTGTGAGGATACGAAGTACAAATGTCACATCAGGAAAATATAAGTATTCATCAGAAAATGACAAGTCATCACCATCTTCCTCTTTTGATGATAGTCTTAGACAGTAAGTTAATATACAGAACTTGTTTAATTTTTTTCACTTCTTGTTTATAAATATTTTTTGCTGTTGTGTTGTTTGTTGTTGTTGTTGTTGTCGTTGTTGTTGTCGTTGTCGTTGTCGTTGTCGTTGTCGTTGTCGTTGTCGTTGTTGTTGTAGGTTGTTGTTGTAGGTTGTTGTTGTAGGTGGTTGTTGTAGGTTGTTGTTGTAGGTTGTTGTTGTAGGTTGTTGTTGTAGGTTGTTGTTGTAGGTTGTTGTAGGTTGTTATAGGTTGTTGTAGGTTGTTATTGTTGGTTGTTGTTTAATTGTTGTTGTTGAAGTAGAAACTATAGATATGTTTTATTGAAGCAGAAACTATAGATATGTTGTCTTAGACGTGTTGTACTATTGTTGTGTAGAACGCTTTTCGGAAAAAATCTAGTATTTAATGTTTAAATATCTTGCATAATATTAATCAAGGAAGCTGGTTTGTGTTTTTAGGTTAGATAGCAGCCGTTCATCAACTTCATCTACACCTGGTGGTTTTTCTGCAAGTGTTCAGAAACCATTCAACTCCAGTGCAATGGAAGATCTCAATCGAACATGGCCATCTGCCTCCATTTCTGATGCTTCAGCCAAGGATGCCTCATTGCGATCTCCTAGATCAGCCATCTCTGTCTCAGCTGCAAGATCTCATTTTGAACAGATGTCTAAGTCTAGGTAAGAGTCTTAAAAGATTCGTAGCATGTATACTTGCATGAAATTGGTAAACTTGAGTATCACAACGAGGCGAACTTAATTGTCACAATCAGCTAACGCATGTTGATGCTCTTAGCTACCAAATTATGAATATGCATAGTTACATCTTTTATTATTAGCATGACAAAATTGCTGGACGCTGATTGGTTGAGAGGAGTACAATTATTTCATTAATTGTACTGCAGTACAATTAATGATTTTCCCAAAACAATTAAAATGGCGGAAAAGTATTTTAAAGTTTAAACACAAACGTGAAATGAAATTGCCCTAGAGGAACTAGATGAAAATGCGAACAAAAGCACCAAATCTTGCTTTAACAAAAGAACTAAATGAAAATACGAACAAAAAGCACCAAATTGGACTGGGCTTTGACGAGAGAATATGATGTTGACATTGAGAAGTATCCACATTTTGTCACGCTAATAATAAACAATATTCTTCGGAATTTGTTTCTATACATTCGGCGACTCGTCCAATTTTGCCAAAATTTCCAAACATCTCTCGTACTATTATTAATCCTTAATTGTACTCGCCATCGCATGATTACCTATACAAATCAGTGTATGTATAGAAACAAATTGCGAAGAATATTGACATCGTGATAATGACTTTAAAACAAAGTCGAAAATTTACAGTTTCAAAAGATCGTTTTGTTCTAATTCAAATCTTGAATTTCGAGATGACATTATTCTTCGAAATTTGTTTATTTTTATGTTATTGTGTATTAGGGACGGACCATTAGAAAAGTGATGGGGGGGGGGGTATTTTCTGAGAGGCAATATATTTTTTTTTTGTACACCTATAGAAGAAATTTTTTTTTCTCACTTGATGGCTGGAAATATTTTTTGTAAGTGAAATTTACAGGCTTATCTTCCAAGCAAGGAATTTTTTTTTGCACTATGCCTGGGAAGATTTTTTCCCCTAATTTTTCTAAATACTTTTTTTCCCCCCCCCCCCCCCCCAATCACTTTTCTAATGGTCCGTCCCTTATAAGTGTGTTTTGGTTTACAGTACGATGTCGGAGTGTGCTCAGTATTGCGGATCTCACCGAACTGTTGCGTCGTATCAAAAATTCGTATCGCTACCACTCCCACAACTACATGGTTTTGCATGTTTACTATATTATTCTATTTTAAACAATCAATCCGGTTCTTGGTAACAATTACTATAGGTGTGGTCGTACACGTTTGCAGGAGGGCCAGTAGCGATACGAATTTTTATGCGATGCCGCAGTTCGCTGAGATCTGTATACCATAAATAATGATAGGGCAAAACTTTAGATTTGCTTATCTCAAAATCTTCACCACCGTCGGTTTCTGCCTAAGTGCATGAATCACCGTCAGGTGATTTCACTAATTCGGATGATACTGACATTGTTGTATAATGGTTGTAATAGTGCTATCATATTTATTTTCAGAGATCAGGAACAACGTCTAGAAAGTGAACGAAGATCTAGTTCATCGTCATCTCTGGCTCCAAAGCCTCCTTCAAGAAACAGTTCATTCCGTGCTTCCAGGCTCTCCTCCTCCTCCGCTGTTTTCATAGAAACTCGTGAAAAGAGCCCAACTTCACCCATCAGCCGCAGACAGAATAGTTTTTCGCACGGCAGTTCCTCGCACGAGACTGTATATACACCTACACGTAAAGCTAGCAGTACTGACGATTTAGATAAACCTCTACCTCCTAAGCGCTATAGTCAGTCATCACTATTGAATTCCTTCCGTAGTAATAAAAAACCTGGATACGTCCCAAGGACAAGTGCACCCTCCACTGTGTATGACCAGGGAGAGAATGTTGTGCACTATCATGCAAGAACACAAAGTTTACCTTCGTCGAAACTCCTTGCAACTCCTCCGTCGTCGAGATCATGGGTCATGAATGAAGGAGGGGAAGACACAAGAAATGAAGACACAAGAAATGAAGACACAAGAAATGAAGACCGAAACGAACGGTTACCAAGGTCATCGTCATTTTCCCGCGCCCGTGTTATTGAAGCAAGTACTGTTCAAACTGTTCGTTCTGAGACCAAGCCGTCACGTCGAAGTGATGCTGGTGGCGCGTTAGAAGTTACTGTTAAGACTGTTCAGAGAGATGATACAAAAGCTCCCATGTATGCAACGAAGTCTGACGTGAAGTATAACCGTAGTGGCGGTCTAACCGGAGTTATTCAGGCTCTAAGAACTGGTGAAGTAGCATCAGAAAGTGAAGACTTTCGCGTCAAGGCATCGCCTAAACAAGATGAACAAATGACTAACAGTAATAAATGGAATAAACAAGAATACAACAGAAAATCAGAAGAACCTAAACCAGACCAGTACAAGGCAACCAAACCAGACATTAAAAAACCCAAATCCGAAGAACAACCAAAATCAGACATTTACAAACCTAAACCTGAAGTACAACCAAAATCTATCTTGAAACGTGAAGTACCCAAACCTGAAGCGAAAAAAGATAAACCGAAAGTTCCCAAACCTGTACCTGTGTTGAAAGAAAACTCTTTAATGCAGAGATTATTACAGGAAACGCAAGGTCAAGGCGGGTCCAGTGAACGTTCCACTGCGGCCGCCATTGAAGAGGAAATAAATCAACGTACTGGCAAAGCAAGTGTTACCGTCAAGTCAACTCTTGATTTCCCGAAGACAGGAACCATTGAACAACGGCAAAGGTTAGTTTTAAGCATTATTGAATATAAAAAGAAATCGGATCCTTGGAAAGCTATGAGGTCTGTTCAGTTCACGAGAGTGTAAATAATTAACAATTAGTCGCTGAAAGCGAGGTGATTACAATTAGAATGTTAGTTTGTAATCCAAGTGAGAATATATACATTTTAAGACCTAACCAGGAACGACTGCGAAAAATGCAGCACAAGGTCCTCTGGTAGGAATTGAACCTACGGCCCTGCGATTCCGGTGCAGCGCTCTAACCAACTGAGCTACAGAGGCAAGCTGTTGAGCTGTAACCGTAAGTTCATGTATATATAGGTAATCGGGTGTGCGGGTTGTGATAAGGTGGAGTTCAATAATTTGGATTCTTGCACTTCACTTGGTGGAATTAATATTAGAATGTTAGGGTTTGTAACCCAAGTGAGAATATATACTTCCTGGTTAGGTGTTAAAATGTATATATTCTCACTTGGATTACAAATTACGCTGCACCGGAATCGCAGGGCCGTAGGTTCAATTCCTACCAGAGGACCTTGTGCTGCATTTTTCGCAGTCGTTCCTGGTTAGGTCTTAAAATGTATATATTCTCACTTGGATTACAAACCCTAACATTCTAATATTAATTCCACCAAGTGAAGTGCAAGAATCCAAAGAGGTGATTACAAGCCTATATTCACTGAGCCGAAGGCGAGGTGAATCTGAGGCGACTAATTGTTTTAGTATAATTTCAGTGTTGAAAAAGTTTTATTTATAAATACAACTAATACACGTGTTTATTTTATGAATATAATTTGCATAAATAATTTGCTTCGGTCTGATTTTCAGCCATTTTTGGGAAAAGCAATAGTTACTGCTCAGAGCAGCCAATCAGAATGCTCAAAGGCCATTCTTCAATACTGAAATTATACTAACATGGCATAGAACATAGGAGAGAAACATAAATTTGGGGCAAGTCTAGAGAAATCGATGATGACCTGCATGGCTGCACCTGTCGCAATATATCGTGACTGTGGTTATTAATTTCGATTTTTTATATTTCCGCTGATTGTTCCCCTTGCATATTATTATGCATTAAGATTGCTTGATAATTATCCATTCGCAGTATTTGGCCAGAACTAATTCTAAAGTTGTCATTCCTACAAAGACACCTGTTTTACTGACCAATCAAACATCGTCAAGAAGTTCAATCGGCTGTGTATATTGACTTATTAAGCAAAGTTTACATTTGGGGAAACGTAAAGTAAATATAGGGAAATATAAACACGGAGAGGAAAATAAAAGGAAATGTAATGCTTATAATGCAATGCTTCAATGGATATGTGCCGATATTTCTATTTAGCGTGGAGTAAAAGATGTCAAGTAATATAACGTAAGAAGTTATACCCTTTTTTGCTTAATGAGGCGGCTTTTCATTTGCGGGAGTAGATCAATGGATAAGAATGGGTCTGAGCATGATAAAGTCTTAATCCGCAGCAAGTCCATTCTGGTCGTTTCTTACGCAATGCAAAATCGAAGATGTCGGTCTCTCCTTTTACACCAGGAAAGTCCTTTTCCTGATCTGGCCGTAGAAATGAAAGGAGATGAAAAGAATTCTAAATATACTGGGAGGTTTAGTTGACTCAGAAATTAGAAAAATCAAATTTAATTGTAGCAACAAAATTAAGTAAGCATTTTAATAAAACGTATTTGTTATTTTAACAAGTTGATAACCTAATTATTCTTTAGGTTAGAAATCGCGTCGGTTGATAGCAAACAAAAAGAAAGCATAAAGCTTGAAGAACCGAAACAACAAAATAAAGAAATCAACAACAAACCGCCGAACGAGATAAAAATTTCACAAAACGAGATAAAAGATTCCACGATGAATCACTCGGCATCAAAAGTTGATCATTATTTAGATAAACTGATAACAAAACTTGATTCTCCACCGGTAAAACATCGATCTCCTCCACAACATGTAGATTCTGCAGTAGATGATAATGTCTTCGTTGAACCTCCAGTGAACACTGAACAAGTCCAACCTATTGAAAGTAATATTGATGAAAATGAAGATTTGGAAAATTTAAATCAAGATGTTAGCATTGTCTCGTCAGAGTTGTTTGTTAAATCTGAAGTCCATGAAGCAGAACTTGAAAGTCATCAACCACATCGGAGTGATAGTAATGATAATATTGCAGATATTGTTCCAGAGAAAAGTCCAGTTTCCAACAAAGTGAAGAAAACAGTCGAGACGAAGTATGCGGATACATTATCTCCAGCAGATGTATCTTTAAAAAGCTTTCACAGTCGCGAAAATTCAGCATCTTCACTCCTTGAAGAAACTTTAGAATCAGCTAAAACAATCGCAAGTATTTATTCAGTTCAAGGACCAACACGCAGTCCTGATGGAGAGGATTCTCTGAGCACGGCAAGTGAAATGCGTCGTCATTCATTGGCAAAACGTGTTGTACGAAGAAGACCTAAATTGAATTCCTCGACTTTCACCCCAGAACAAGATCCAGAAGAGTCAGTCACTCCTGCAGACTCATCTTTGAGTGAACCAGCAGTTCAAAATGAAGGTGATGATGATAGTGGAGGAAATAGATCCACAGGATCCCTCTCATCTGGTGGCAGTCGTCCTGATAGTGGCATACTTAGTCCCAAATTCGAGGCTCTTGAAGAACAGAAGGTAACTTTTCCTAGAATCCCAGCAATGTCATGGGAGGCAATGTTATTGGAGAAATCTTATTTTAATAGCACAAACACCCCTGCGTGTTCCAGTGTTTTAGGTTGTATTCTGCAATAAGCGGTTGCCCTCTGAACTCTACGAGAAATCACTTCGACCTAAAGGCCTATAGGGGGGGCCTATAAGTTGACACTTACAATTTTTGCTGCAATTTGTAGTGCGATTTTCTTCTTCTGATGCACGTGAACGTGTGGATGGGTTATGAATGTTCAGATGAGGGTACATAATTCATCTACTCGTTCATCTACTCGTTCACATGCATCAGAAGGAGAAAATCGCACGAGAAGTCGCAGCAAAAATTGCAAGTGTAAACGGGCCTGTATTTCTGTGTTGTTGTTAAATTGTTCAGACACCAACCACGGCAGCAATGTTTATTGCAGCTTGCAATACACTAATAATTCCAGACAAAAACTATGACTGAAAAGCATTCGAAGGTGTCGTAAAAAGTATTCCTAGAATTAGTCTACGTTTTCCTTCACACGTAAACGACGATTAAGAATGTAAAATGTAAGCGCTTCTCATTCGTGTTCTTTTACAAAACCGAACAGATTTTAGGGCCCATGCAGTTACACGATACTGGATTCGCTTGTCGCAGCATCGAATTTAACGGTTTCAGGAACCACTTAACACTTAAAATTGCGATTATATGATATGCAAAGTAAGACGAAAATTGTGAAGGGGGAGATTTTATGAGCGGACATTCCTGAGCGGCATATTTTCTTGTCGTACCAGTATCATGAAACTGCACCCTTCAAGATCTTCATACGGCAAGGTCTGAAATTTTAAAGTTTTTCAGTATTATTTGTCTTCAAAGTCTTACGAAGATTCTTTCTGACCCATTTGTTTTCCGTAAGTAAATTTTAATCGCAGAGTTTCTATTCAGGCCTGATTTCTATTCAGGTATGATTTCTATTCAGGCCTGATTTCTATTCAGGCCTGATTTCTATTCAGGCCTGATTTCTATTCAGGCCTGATTTCTATTCAGGCAGGGTTTCTATTCAGGCCTGATTTCTATTTATAAGATAAAATTGGTAAACTGAAACTTTCAAGTTCACAATTTTGGCCGGTCGGAACCACAGCAGATATTTTCCAAGAAGTAGGGAAGTAATCAGAAGTTTATTCGAGTATATTGACCAAATAGTATGAAACTTTTGTCGACACATACTGTTCGATTCAACAAGCATTTGTATCAGGCCCTCGTTTCCAATTTCGAGGTTATGATCCATTCAGTTGTTATAAATTACAACAACATGTCATTAGTCAACAATTAGACAGTGACCATATTGGTAACGTGATGCACATTTCCTCTGAGAAACTTCTAGTCTTGAATGGGGAATTCATAGGCAGACCACTGGAGACATTTATCATTACCCTAATGTTTGAGATTTTTTAATATCCAGTTGGAATGCAGGTCATTCACAGGTTGGTACCCAAAACCAAATTTTAGTATCCTGTAGATATTGGGTTTAGAGCCTGTACGGTCTTCAAAGATCCAGGACTGGATTTTTTATCCTATCTAAATTTCCTTACGAACTACTAATGACTGTAAGAGAGCTTTCGAAGACCTTCGTTGCGTTTACATCTTTGCAACTACATCATGCAAGTAAGGTATAGATATTAGTTCAAATTTTGAAATATGATTTTATTTCATTGTGAAGGAAATCCTAATTTCAAGTATGAAGAAGAAAGTTGAATTATTGAAAGAACAGGAAAATGAAATAAAGGAAGAAATGAAACAAAATGATGAGTTGGGAAAACGAGTGGCAGACGAAGTGAAAGCAAGAACAAGTGGAAGCGAATACTCTAAATATGAACTCTTTGTTGGAGAACTAAATAACATCATTGGTTTGCTTTTGTCTTTAACTCAACGTATGCATCGCTACGAAATATTACTTCAGGATATTGATCTCGCTGAGGAAAATGGACGAGATAAAAGGGTGAGTGATTAAAGTGAATTATAACTAAAAACAACAAATGCAGTGCAATGAAAGAAACCACATTTATAAGGCATTTATAAGGGCGGAAATAAACCGCGGCCTAAACAAGCCGCGAACGACTCCTATAAACGGTCAATTTATTCGCAAGCCGCGTCTAAAATGCAGAGCCCAGGATTGAAAGCTAGGCCTAAGTAGGCCGTGGATTATATTGCAAATTCACTGTTTATACAAGTCGTTCGTAACTTATTTAAGCCGCGGCTAATTTTGATCGCCTTAATCTTTTCCTCCCATCGCAAAAGCCAACTCGCAAGCTCGCTGCGAATACTTTCAACCAATCACAATGCTCGACAGTTTATTTTAAATGGATGTAGCACTTGCAGCGGGCATGCGAGTTGGTTTTGTGATCAACGGAAAAGAGCCTTTATTTTCGCTTGTATATAAACAGCATAGTTTGCTGACAATATTGCTGCTAAATTGCAAACGTTTTTTATAGATTAACTCCTGTATTCTGACTGATGATTTATCATTGATAATTGTAAAGCCCCATTTACACTTGCAATTTTTGCTGCGATTTCTGGTGCGATTTTCTTCTAATGGATGTGAACGAGTGGATAAATTATGAATGTTGAGATGAGGCAACATATACTCAGAACATTCATAACTCATCTACTCGTTTACCTTCATCCAGCAGAAGAAGAAAAACGCGTTAGAAATCGTAGCAGAAATTGCAAGTGTAAACGGGCCTTAAAGTTCCTGCAAGATTTATCCGTCTTTCTATCGTTCTTTAAAAACAAAAGCTCAAGGTTATCAAGCGCCGTCAATTACGTCACGTTCCCTTGGGCTGCCAAATTTTCTAATCAACATCATGGACGGATTGTCAGATTTTGCGCACCCCCAGAAAATCCGTCTATGAATTCAACGTGCAGCAACGTTATATTTAAATATTTTAATAATAAACGTATATTTTAATTCATTTCCAGGACGTTTTATTGAAACGAATCGAGCGAGTGAAGCAACAATACGAAGAGGCGTGTAGAATTAAAGAAATAAACGATAAACGAGGAGAAGCTGTGTCGAAAATTGTTGACGATTATTGTTCTGATGAAGAATTTGCCGACTTTCAACATTTTGTAGACATGAAAACACAACTAGCTCTCACTCATGCTGAAATACGCGACAAGATCAAACTTGGAGAGGAGAAATTGAATGCTTTAACTTCAGCGCATATTGACTGGACCACACTAGATCTCAGTATGAAGTAACTTTATGGCAGTGTGTTTTCTTGGCGTGTTTTTCTGTGTGGCGTAGAAAGTGATGTTACTTTAGATAAGATTTGGTTTGTTGGCGAGGAGGTATATGGTCATAGGATGCTAGTTCTGGAGGGTCTAATTTTATTAGGGTGGAGGCCCCAGGCTAAGGGTGGTGGTGGGATGAGGCTAGGTTCAAGATTCTAGTGTTCTGAACAACTTGAAAATAACCAACAGTTATTTGAATATGCACCAAATGCATAAACCTGCACCAACTTGCAAATTAGACCCTCTATATACGTTAGTTTGCCCTCTACTAAGTAAGAAATCCGTAACAGTAAGCTTTGAAATTTTTGTGTGTAGAAAGTGCACCGACTGTATAGTTTTATTCCTTATTCAGAACATTTAGCAGAAATGAACATTTTTAATGACTAGTGATTTCTGTACTTTAAGAAAGTGATTTTAGTAATTTTATTATATAGCATGTATTGTATATGAAGAATGAAAATTTTATGAATAGTAGGATATGAGTGTGTATGGTGTCAGCGGAGGAATATTAGGAATACCAAACTCACAATAACTCATGAAGAAAAACGCAAAGAAATTGTTTTTAAAATCAATGTCAGTAAATCTAAAAATATTTTGTCTTGCTTCCTACTAACATATAGACTTAACTTCCGCCATTGTCGTCGTTCACAGGCAGGTTAATAGACTTTAATGACGTCCCCCAGAAGGCCCTAGCCCTAGGTTAAGGCTGTATACCAATAAATGTGTTGCAGGACTTACAGCCCTTATGAGCCATGTTTCGTTTCGAATGTTGTAGTCTCATTCAACAAGAGATACTGGCCACATGCCTTGACCTCTCCAACTTTGTGGTCCATAGGAAGTTGGAGCCGGTAGTGAAAGAGTCTTGAACGGCCTGTGCTAGTGTAGGTAGTGCCAATAATAAACCTTCTGTGGCAGGGATGCAACTACCTCAAAAATACAAGGAGATGATTCGAAGTTTCGAGCGAAGGCCGTTCGTCGGGAAATAACCAGAGTACCCAACTTACCATAGATGTTTTGCGTAGAGAAAGAGCCTGGGAACGAGGTTGACTGTGCGTATTAGCGAGCCGTATACGTACCATTATTTCTATGATACGTACACATGGAAATAAAAGCACTTCTTGTTACACTTCCCCGATCCTCACACCTTTATCGGCGTCTGAACTACTTTCTTGTAGAGCGTTTGCACTCATTCCCCAGGGACCAACTCAACAGAAGCCATGGCGGCCATGTTGGTGTTTCAGATAAAAGAGTGGATTGGAACACCAACATGGCGGCTGTGACGTCATGTGCAAACGCTCCATACTATCCTTTCAGTGTTAAAATGTGACCCAGGACTGTCATGCAAAATAGTCGATCCTAAAGGTGCGAAAAGCCATTAGGAGGGTCTTGGGGAATGCTCCAGTATGGAATGAAAGCGTTATGCACCCCCACTCAATTGATGGCTCTGGGTCGTGATTGGTTGTGCCGGCGGGACATGTCTGGTGCACAATTTTCAATTTAATTGAAAAATTAAATTATTTGTTTCTAAATAGAAATGTCGCTTAGAATTAATTTCATTTTCGACTTAGGAAATGGTGATTGCGAGGTTCTAAAATCTAAATTCTCAAAATTTTCCTCGGACTGGGAGAGGACACGTACCTACCAATTCTACTTGTATTGTCATATAGACTGCCTCGTCCCCAGGCGCTAATAAAAAATTTCATGCGAGTCACTATATGAAAGGTTTACATGAAGTAGTGCATCATGACGAACAAGCGCAGGGAGTTATGGGCTTGAGGCTCATATCCCACTGTCCTTTGCGCGCGCCTATAATGTGACGCACTACTTCATGTAAACCTTTCATATAGCGATTCGCAAATTTTTTAATTAGCGCCTGGGGACGAGGCAGTCATATAGATATTATCATGGTCGTGCAGGGAGTTTCTTATATCTATATCCATGTGTAACATGGTGCACAATTGGGGCAAAAGAGAAAAAAAATGTGTGTTTTTCAGTCTCCCGTGTAACTTCTTCTAGTCAACGTCGTACCCAGGGCCTTAGCGCGATTCAGAGGCTCTGCTTCCCGTACCAGAGCCTCTGAACCGCGCAAAGGCCCTGGGTACGAGGTTGGATGGCAGTCAATCTCGTTCCCCAAGCCTGCGATCCTCGGGAAGGAACGCGAGGCTCTGGGATAATCCGTTGCTGGAAGCCAGGAATTCTGGCTAAGATTGAACTACGCATTACTACTAGGTGATCTCGTGTTCGTATTTTAGCCAATCAGCGCTCAGAAAGGGTTGTCCGAATAGAAATCCATTTTGATGTATTCAGTCAATTATATCTTTCGTTATTCTTTATGAAACTAGTTGAAATTTTGTAATTATGTTTGGTTATGAGAACTTATAGCTCTGACAAAAATATGGAATCGAAATAAAGTATATTACGGGAGATATTCCGTTGTTTTAATCATAAAATGGATTTCTATTTGACAACTAGTGCCAGTACTTTTCCGCGTCAAGATCATCTGGTACGCATTCCATTTCAACGGCCAATCAGATTCCTAAACGGATTATCCCAGAGCCTCGCGTTCCTTCCCGAGGATCGCAGGCTCTGCCTCCTCCGCAGGCCCTCGTTGCGTCATGGGAAGGTCACGATCTGGCGAGGGCCTGCGGAATCTTGTAAAAAAAATGGCGCCGTAAATGTCAGCAAGTAAATTTCTACATAATCTTGAATATTTAACAATTATTCGCCAAAGGCGAGGTGATTATCGGTGAATAAGAACCGACACGAAGTCGAGGTTTTTATTCACGATAATCACCGAGCCTGAGGTGAATAATTGTTTTAGTATAATTTCATAGGTGATTATTTAGAAAAAAAGAAAAAATAGATGTTTCTTCGTCATTTAATTGACAAAACGGCTTCGGCCGCCATTTTGAAAATCGTTTAGGTGATTATCGCGTAATAATCACCTCAACAGCAACCAATCAGCGTGGAGAATTTTCAATAATCACCTATGTAATTATACTAAAAACAAATATGAAAAAGCGGTGTGAAACTTGTAAATTAAACTGGCGACTCTTAGGACGTGGAAGGAAGCATTTTTTAACGATAAGGTTTGTTGTCCAGACCAACGTTGCATGAATAAAACTGCCTTCTTTAACGAAGTAGGTTCAAAACAACATTTATTCATTTTACAAGATTCCGCAGGCCCTCTCGAAATCGTGACCTTCCCATGACACAACGAGGGCCTGCGGAGGAGGCAGTCGCAGGCTCGGGGAACGAGATTGGATGGCAGTTAGATAAATACCGGAAACTGCGGAAATGACATCCCAAGCCTATAAAGATTGTTATTGCAGTGCAGTCTTCTGATTGGTCGAGAAAGTAGGTGTTTCTGTGGGCAGGTCGGTATATAAATATTGAAATGTTATTAAATTTCTGTTTTCTGTCAAATTCTGTGTCACTGTCATTAGTGCCATATACTGAAAACCATATAAAACGAAGCGACGAAGGTTAATCTATCTACATAATCTACTTAATCCGTGGAATCAATTGCAAGCCATGAGTTGTCCATTTCAAGGGTAAGTCCTACATTCTTTTAAATGCTCTTGGTTCGCAATATGATTATCCATAATTATGTAACTGCAGGGGAAACTAATAAATCATCTTGAACATTCGTGAATATTTGACGTCTACGAAATGCATTATTTTATCCCTTCAACGCTCAATTCCCCACAGTAAAACGAGATGGTTATTTCATGCTTTATTTGTATGAGCTTATTCGATAGCTGAGTTGTTAAAATGTTCACTTGACATAAAAAGATGTTATATTTATATATAAAACGACATTATACTTGAAAATACATCAATATATAGCCATCAGGTAAGTAAATTTGTTTATTTAACTGCATTTTACTCTTTTACAAGGTAAATTTTGTTTATTTAGCTGTTTTAAAATCATTTACAACATATATTAAACAGTGTACGACTGTGGGCCGCCTGTGATAACAGTGGCATATCTGGCCTCATTTGTTAGCTAAAGGACTAAGAGGAGGTGGACGTCTTTAGAGAAGCATTGCCAGGTGTTCCAACTTTACATCTCTGAAAATCAGGAGGTCCGGTCAAGAGACACGAAATGTTCTTTTGCTTCGACCTTGAGTGTAGCAAATTTGAAGAACGGCCAGTACGTACTCGAAAGTGGGATTATTTCATTGGTCTTCATTCCAAGAGATTTAATTAAAAAGAAAATTGTCCAGTTTTAACGCCATTTTAGCCTGATACACAAAATGTCTTTGTGGGCCCGCGGTGCCCGCACGTCCAGATCACACGTCACTGGCGGAAGTTTCATTCAAAGTTTAGCGTACTTTATGACGACAATGGCCTGACCATTAGATTTTTTTTCGAATCTGTTCGTGATTTTGGACGGTTTTCCACAGGGATGTGATTTAATTGTTTCATTAATCATACAATCGGGAGGTTTAAATTTAAACCATGAGTTCTAGGGTGCTGGACACCAGTAGGGGATAGGGGTGTGCACCCTTTGCAACCCCCCTCCAGTACATCTGCATGTCTCTATGGGATATCAAAAGAGGGTCCTGAAGGGGGAAGTTTTAACCCAGCTCTTCAGATCCATTCATCGCTAGAGTCCATGCACATGCACTGTGAGTGCTTTCATCCAATCATAATGCTCAACAATTCATTTTACTTAGGGGCCCTTTACATGTGCCCAGCTGATTATCAACCTGGGTCAGTGCACCACACTGGTCGATTGCTATTTTGTTATTATGTTTACATGTTTAACTGCAGTAAGCATGCCAGGGTAATATTTAGCAGGCTATGCTTAATTGACGATGCTTTCTAGGCAGTTCATTCCTGAACTGGACTGCTTAGAAGCTACCTAACTCTATACCTGTCACGTTTTAGGAAGACTAATTACTATTTTTAGACTTTTGTAATTTTGTATTCTTTTGTATTCTATTTTTAAACTTAACCCTAACCCTTACTCTTTTCCTTCCTTGGGCTTGGGTGCAGACCGTTCTTAACAATTAAATCAAGTCAAGTCACCAGTCATTTCTTGCAAGTCCAAGTCATTTTGTCTATTACTGAGTCAAGTTGCAAGTCATTCTGTTCAATCTTTTCATGACAATTAGTATACTGTAGCTCGCACTGCAATATGCCAATTTGTCTGAGCACTATAGTCATTGTGAATTGACGAATTTCCATACAGGTCCTAGACTAGTTGTAGAAAGTTAATTTTCACTGGATATTTACGACTTTAATTTAATGTACGTTTGACTTGCGTTGGTAACAAATCATTTGTTGCAAGTATCATTAATTGCATCCACTTTAAGTGCACGAAATATTTTCGCGGCGCGCGACTTAACTGGTTTGGCCTGGTTTGGCCTCCTAGTGTAGTATAATACTGTTTTAGGAGTATTTCATTAAAGCATTAAAGGAGGATCAGTGTTTCAATTGTCCTGTTCCCGAAGAAACATGTTCGGCTGGAGACATTGACGGAATTTTTTGTTGTACTATTGCAGTGTCAGAATAATATATGTAACTAGTTTTTCATTTCTTCCGCGATCTTCACGATCTTCCTAGCAGTTTGAAAAATGCGGATTGTGATATATTTGCAAACGATACCCAAATAGGAGTTGCAGGTAAAGACCCGAAATCAAGTACCAAAACGCTAAACAGTGATTTAACAAATATTTCAGATTGGATGGCAGCCAATAAATTAAGCTTAAAAGCAAAACTGAGTATATGATTATTGGTTCCCACCAGAATCTTAAAAAATGGAACTTTGATTTTCGGATTGTGATTGGTAATACGCCTATTAAGCGAGTTAGCACCACTAAATCACTGGGTGTAATACTATTAAGCGAGTTAGCACCACTAAATCACTGGGTGTGATGATCGACGAGACTTTAACCAGGCGTTCTCAAGTGGATCTTATAACCATAAAAGTAAACAAGAGTCCTTATGTCCTCAGACGATTGAGGGTATTCACGGACTTAAAGACTCTTGCTACTGCATACAAAACTCTAGTCCAACCACCCTTTGACTACTGCTCACAAGTTTGGGGGAGCCTTGGATCACCCTCCAAAATAAATTGCAGCGGTTACAACTGAATAGGGCAGTACGTATTATTACAAAGCGTGGATATTACTACAGATCAGTAGACATACTTAATAATGAGATCTAATGAGTTAGAGTTACGAAATTTAAATGTAAGAACACACAATCAATTAATATGTAATATAATGTATAAAGTTAATAACAATGAGGTACCTGACTATCTCAGTGTCGATCTATTTACTAAAACAAGTTCATCTCATGGTTATGAAACTAGACAGGCCGAATTTAATTTTGTGCCCCTGAAACCAAATACGAACTTTTGTAAAAAATCATTTTCATATAGAGGTGCTGTGGCTGGGAACAAATTACCGACTAATTTAAAAGGCTTAGTACCAAATAATTGAGTGTACAACTGTAATACTTTTTAACTCTCATTTTTGCTATGTATACTAGTAAGTGAATACTTTTGTAAATATGCATGTGCACGGCCTATATTGGAAAATCACTTCTCATTTTGTAAATCAGATTCTTAACTTTATTGTGAAAAATAGCACCGTGGGTAAATAAAGTCATTATTATTATAGTTCTGAAATGGACGTATTAGTATAACTGTAAAATACACGTAATATTGATGCTGTGTAAGTGCATTACATTTTTTCATTAATTTTAGTTTTAATTAATCTGTTAAATATACATTGTTCATGTTTCGACAGGGATGATGTCACCGATACGGGTTTACGGCCAGGACAAGTTGGCTACAATGATTATCTCAAGGTAATATAATCAGGTTTGAAGAAATACTTTATAATTATAACAAACTGCACTGACTAAGCTGCACTGTAAATTCAACTCTTTGAAATTTACAGTATGTGAAGCATTCGTACAGAAGTACAGAACAGACCACAAGTGTTGTCCTTCATTCATTTTAGATCTCAGATCTTTTGAAATTTCAAATACCTCTAAGTGAGAAAGTTGAACATAACTTGGTGCATGATGAATATCTTTTCATCATTATTCATCAAAGTAAGTTGCTCTGCAGACACTTCATTCTGATAAATTTTTATATGTGCAAGTTTTACTGAAAGTTTGCATGATCATGCTGTAGTGTTTTATCACATTTAAAACACGAGGCGACAGCTGAGTTCTTGTAATTAAGTCTGATAAAACACGGACTGCAAGTAATTTTGAAAATCAACGTTATCTAATTTATAATTTTATAATTTATTACACTTTGCCTCAACATACAGGCTTGGAAACCGCGACAGCTACGGTCTATGAGTTGTGTATGACTCTATGAGATACCACCGACATGGTAGTTATTTAAGATGGTATATCAAACAATGCTTTTTTTATAAAATCCAGCAGTGAAACTAGTATAATGTACATCGTTGACTGTCACCATAACTGATATAAAATTGTGTGGAAAACTTCTCGACAGCCACTCGATCTAAGTGATCTAAACAGGAAAAAGATGTATGACGTTTCGAGCAAGGGTTGTACTTACTCGCCTAATCAAGAGACCTGGAAAAAGTGTTTAATTTTCCTTGGATCCATTTCTGAATTTGCCTTTTTCAGATCAGTGTTCCTCAAAAGTGCGTAATCAGTGGCCAAAATTTAACTGACCAACAAAGTTTGAAGGACTAAAATTTCCAGGAACAAAAGGTGGTCGTGGTGGCAACCTAACCTCCTCCCCCTGATATTTCAAGGCGGTAGCTATCCGCCACTGTACTGTAAGATATAATAATTCCTTAAGATTCTTCCATAACATATATGTGAAAAATTGCAAATGTTCCCCAATCGTCTTACTATGGCAAAGCAGGATTCCGAGATCTTACTTCCTTCAGCCCCGGCGAAAATTTGATGAATTATTCATGAAAAATTCATGAATTTTGTTCATGAACTTCCATCAAAAGTACATGAACTCTTCATGAATGTGCATGAACGTTAAATGGCACAGTTCATGAAAGTAACAGTTCATGAATAACAAGTTCATGAACTTTTTTGTTCATGAACAGTTCATGCACTAATGTTCATGCATTTTTGAAGAGCAAATCATGAGCTATATTCATGAACTTTTCATGAATTTTCTCATGAACATTAAATGGCACAGTTCATGAAAATTGCTGTTCATGAATACTTCATGATCTTGTAATCATGAACATTTCATGAATCATTCACGAATAATTCGTGTAGCGTTTCATGAATTCCTCATGAATTTTCATGAAGTGATTCATGAACACTTCATGGCACAGTTCATGATCAATATGCATGAAATGTTCATGAACTGATTTAGAATTTCTAAAATTGGAAACCATATTATAACATAGTTCATAATCTTTACTCTATGAGAATGGGCCTGTCAATGAAATCGTATAATTATAATATACGAACCATGCACTTATGAATCGTTTGGGAAAAGGCTCATGAAATTATTCACCAACATTTTATGAATTTTAACTAGTCTTTAGAATCCAGCTACACTTCAATTTTTACCTATACTGTGTACAGTTAAACTATTACAAGGTTGTCTTTACTATATGTGTTCATATATATGCAGTTCAGTATGACATGCAAACTTAAAAATAACTAGTCAATCTTCATGCACGCATTTCTTACTAAAACTTACTGTCAAAACAGCTGAAATAACAAATTAAGTCGTCCGACCAGTCATGCCGCATTTTACCACAGGGCAAACTCGCAAACAATTAAGGCAACAAATGGCATGAATCTCGTTATACATCCATTAACAAAATCGCGTATTTGCGTATTGATTATATAGGAGTTTATTTAGGCATTTCTTGGTCAAATGTGTGCTCGTAATAATCTATATAGTGTACATTATGAATGCTAAGAAATGAAATACGTTCCACTTTTACGAGTCTTCTTAATCCACTAATAATTTTCATTCGAATAAGTTGATGGCAAAATCATGCACGACTATATATAAATTTAATCGATTTCAAAACTCGATTTCTTATATACTGTATATACAGTTCATCACAGTATTATCACTTCGACTCTGTCTTGATCCGTACAATATTTGCGCCATGCGGTTGCGCTGTCATACCATAGAAAATTTATACTGTAAGATCAATACTTGGCAATTAAAGATTGAGGAGACACCTATAGTTCCGAGTATATGTACACTATGTTTGTTAAACATTTGATATAACGCATTTATTGAAACGTTTTGGGCATATTAATTTATGGCCGTATTAAAAACGGTGATCCGATATACTATTATAACTTACTTGATTGCGCTTAATTTGCGCTATACTATTTGCTGGAATTTCGCTGACGTCGCTATACCCCTCCTGGTAGTTTCACCAACATTGTATTCTTGAAATGCATATCCAAGCCAACAAACTCCAGTAAACCCAGCAAGAACAACGAAGAACATAATAAAACTGAAGTGCTGCGTTATAAAAGCACGCAAATTTGTCTTCCCACACTAAATGTGAGCTGTATTTGACTATTTGTATATAGCTCGAGGCTTGGCCGCCAGCCTGTCTACATTGGCCAAGATGCGCAAACCTGATTAGATATCAGATAAAATTGGCAGAAAAGACGTTCAGAGTTCGATTAATGTAGAAATGAATAATATAAAAGTATAGACCTTTAAGACAGCTTTTTCTATATATTGACTATAACCACGCATCAACTAATGTTTCAGAAATTGCACTTTTTCAAATGTCACTCAATTTGAAATGACAAATTTAATACAGACTACAGTAGTGAATATAGTGTATAATTCTTTACAGACTCGTAATATACGATCGTAAAGTTAATATCATTAAACATGCATCGACATTCATTAAATTAATACATTTTATGAATTATTTATGATGTATTATAATCCTCTAAAATTGTTCATGAATAGTTCATGGTAGTTCACAAAGCGAAATCATGAACGTTCATGAATCAGTACAAATTCATAAAAATTTCATGATATGTTCATCAAGTAAATTCTATGAATTTTTCATGAATAATCAGTTCATGAAATATTCAAATGAACATTCATGAACATTCATGAACTATTCTGTTCAAAACAAAAAGTTCATGAACAGTTCATGAAGAGCATTCAAGAACACTAGGTAAAATATTTGATGAGCGGAGCATGAACTGTTCATGAATTTACATGAACGTTCTTGAATGCACCATCAAAGTTCATGACTTCATGAACAAATTTTCGCCGGGGTAAGCCTGGAACAAATGGTCAGTTATAAAATCTTGATCACTCAAATATCAGTAGTAATATAGGTACCGTTCGACCCCCTTTTTTGTGGTGGCGTGTGGTGGTTTGTGGTGGCGTATCATCATTAGCATAGACTGTGGTGGCGCATCATTATATATGCAAGTAATTACTATGCAAGGGGGCCGCATCATTATATATGCAGGTAATTAAGGGGGCCGCACAATGAGGGTGCGTAATGACGTCACTCATTAAATAGGTCATAATTATATGCAATGACGTCACGCGGGCAGGTTTAAACAAGAACGTGTGAAACTTGCTGACTAAGCATTTTTTCAGCGTTCCCCCACGTGTGTGATACAATAGGGGGCTTAATATTGGCTTGCTATGAATAGCTCGAGTCCCTCACGCGGCAAATCATAATTATATGCTATGACGTCACGCGGGCCTGTCCGGGCGAAATTGGACAAAAATTTGCTGACTACGCATTTTTTAGCGTCCCTCCACGTTTATGATACAGCTCTGGCATTTTGCTGTTATTTTTAAGTGATTCCTTTAATTTAGCTCCTAGAGGAGTAAACAATCTGATATTATATCAAATAGCATTAGTGTTATATATCTAAAACTTATATATTCGGGGTATACAGCTATATGTTTTGTTGTTAAGTAATATATAAATATTATCAAGCGTCAAAACGCTGAGAAATAGCATGCGGTAAGAGTTATGTATCTACAATTAAGCTAATATTTAAATCCCGATCTGCCATAGGAGAGAATATGTTGCTGTCAGAGTTATATAAACACATGGAAATTAGAGATTATGATATATACTTTTCAAGCGATTTCTATATTTTATTGCTAGTTTTTTAAAGTACTAAAACTCGGATAAGGTTAATAAATTTAAGCTATATTAAAGCACACCGGTTTCTATGTGTTGTTAGGGTGACACTAATTAAAGGATTAACTTTTATCAGAGATTTGCATTTTTCTACTGTGTGGATAAATACGGGTAGATTAGGATATTCATTGCGCGGGCGTCGCGGGTTATCCGTGCGGGAAGAGAGAAAGCGATTTAGACAAGACAGGAGCGCTTTACAGCCAAAACTTGAAAGACTTTGTGTGGAATCCTGTA